ATTAGGTGATGTCATAGCCTAGACCGTCGCGTCATGCGCAGCCTGGACCATGACATCATTCATGGCAGATCATCAGCATTAGTCACAGCACGGGAGCTGTGCGCCGATGACGGGAACAGCATCAGTAATCAGATACTATTGTTAGAACAGCTCGAACAATAGCAGCCAATCGCGTATCCGCGATTGGATATCCCATGTAAGCAATGTTACGCATCGCGCAGGCCGTAGTTCCGGCCGCGATGCCGGGAAAAACCTTATCGGATGAACTATACAGGACCTGATGAGACTGTTAAAAGTCGAAACAGGATGGGTTGGAGTTTTTCTCCATCCCCTGTTGTCCTAGTTCGACTCCCCACTCGTCGTCGTCGTCGCACAACTCGCTTCGCTCGTTGTGCTCCTCCTCCCTAACCCTAACCCCACAGTACACCCCCAAAAACACCTTCCCACCGTAACAAACCAAACACGTCTCTCTCCCACTCCCCCACCCTGTCCCACCTACACCCTATTTTTAGGGTTAGGGGTAAAATCACTCTTGTACACCCCCTAACACCTCACCAACATCCTCAACAACAATAGAACTGTCCCCCCTAACACATCCATCTAAGCATTCCACATCTCCTCCTCACCCCTTTAACACCCTAAGCTTTACCCAATCTTGTCCCTTCCAAGCACTCTAGTAACCCACCCTGAATATCCTTTCCACCACTTCGTTACACTATTCATTCCACCTCGCAACCCTACACAAGCATACTCCAACCCTCCTTCTCACCTCAGACAACTGCATTACTTAAGCTCACACCAACTTCCACCACTTGTAAGTGACCTGCCGTACGGTACGGTCAGAGCGCACAGTTCTGGGGTCCCAAAGGGTCTGAAGTTTGGGCGCAGTCCAGATACGTGGCACTGGAGGCAAGAACATCAGCACAGCTATAATTACCAACATGATGGCAGCAGAACCGAGAGGAGGTTGAAGAGGATAGTGAGTGACAAAGTTCAAGGGGACTTCTCAAGCAGGTGAGATCAAACAAAGTCCACAGTCCAGAGTTCCAAAGCACAGAGCATGGAGGCTCAGAGTTACCAGATTACGAATGTCGGAGTTTGAAGGCCAGAAAGGAGGTAGACCAAAGGAATAGGTTAACAAGTGGTAGTGCAAAGGAAGGTAAACAGGACAAGTAACGAGGGGGTAAACAACATGTCTGAACTGAGGTACTACGACATTCTCAGTGCATATTTATGGAAGGAAGCTTATTGTTAAGGAAGACAATACCAGTGTAAGTAATATCAAATCCACAGTCCCAAAGTTGGCAAACAACAACAATAGAGGTTATTGTTAAAGGACAAGATAATGGAAGAATGATGCAATTGTAAGGAAACGTACATGTGAAATCTCGGAGTTTTAGAGTGCGTGAATTCCGGAGATCGGAGGTCCGGAGTGCACCAACTTGGCGTACGAAGTCCAAAGCTGCGGAACTCCGGAGTTCCAGAGTTCAGAGCAGAGGTGCGCATGGAGCGTAACATAACCCTCCTGCCAAGCCAATAGGAGCTGTCGCCTCAAAGATAGAAACCTGCAGAAACACCCGCACCTCAGTGTGATCCTGATCATAGTCCCCAGCCTAAAAGGCTTACATTTAACCCGACTATATAAAAATTGGTTCCCTCTTCATCTTCTCCCCATGTCGTCCACACAGTGATAATGGGTTTAAGGGTACATCTGGAACTGCTGGTATTCCAAAGCAAAGATGTTAGAATTATGTTTTCATTGTTTTTCACGTCTTGCCTAGACCCTCACATATTTCTGGTGTACGTTGTGATATGTTCATGGAACCCTTTCCTTTCGGCTTGCATATATACCCCCATTGACATCTCCCATTCACTAGTGGTGCAGTGGATGAGACAACCTATCGTAGAGGCAGATTATCGAAATCGTAACCCTAACCCTAATTCTGGTAGGCGGCCGCATGACCGTCACACCCTACCACACCAAACAAGCTGTAGATTAGTTCTAATGGTGGCTATGATCGCAGGTGCGCACTCTCAACAACGGCAACAGTGTATCGAGGAACTCCGCAATGTGGTAAAAGTCAGAAGCAAAGTAAAAGCGGTTGATCCGACAATCAAACAACCAGTCCTCGCAGACGAAAGTGTCAAACTTAAAATAAGGATTTTTTAGCATACGCAAAACCTGTTCGAACCACGTATGAGGGATATCGACCCCATGACCATGCGCTGAATGCTGAAGAACCACGGTAACCACGAAAGGGAAGGAAGCGAGCAAATGTTCCAAAAACGTTTCAATGTCCTCCTGGTATCCCGAAATCAGCGCTTAAGAGCACTCGAAATACAAAGCAGACACTTACCAACGTAACGTCAGCACCGACAACTTGCAAAATCACCGCCTTGACGCCGTTCATCGTCGGAAACGACATTCCGTCTTCAAACGGTGCGATATAGAGGCGTTGGAACGTCGATCGCGTGTGAGGAGCGCTGTCTGAACATCCGACGGTGATTCGCAGGCTTTGCACGTGTTGCCAACGTGAGAGAACAGCGACCAACGCCCCGAGATCGCGGAGCTGATCCAATTGTAGTGAGAGCCCCGCCGGCGGCAGGATGTTCTGCAGAAGTGCTTGATAAGGTACCAGAACGACGGGATCGCGGATGTGGAAGGACAGGATTGGTGCGGTGGTCCATGGAATGGCAAGTTGCGTGATAAATGAGGTCAACGCATCGCCAAAAGTGGCCGGTGAGGATGCGCAGAAGAGAAAATGGGTTGGAGCGGGAGGGTGCTCCATGACGAAGGGCGTAAAGGAGAAGGACCCGACGTGGCAAACGAAACGCGGCCACATGATGGGGACGAGGTCCAAGATTTGATTGCCGTCGCCAAAAGAGAGCGGAAAGGTGAACGAACGACGCACGCAAATCGCACAAGACTGTGGCGGCATGACCCCGCACAACGACGAATTTCAGGCTGTTTGTTGGCACAGTGCGTACCACAAATCATATGACCCGATGAATGCACCTAGATACGAGCCATGCCAGCGCACCAGAGCAAAGAAGACGTATGAGCGTCCTCGTCCACAAACAGAAAGACGGCCCGACGCAAGAGGTATATCCTATCGTCAGCGAATAGCACGAAAGCGCTTCCACAGCAAACAGGCGACGAAATAAACGATGCGTCTTCGCGCGCTGGAAAGACCGTAATATGGCACGGATTTGGCTGATAAAGAACGTTCCTCGACGACAGACCAGTTACCATTAAGACGTGAACCGAATGTCGCCATGTGGAAGCGCGCGTGCGGGAGAGCACACGCGTGCTGTCCCGCACATTGAACGCCCGTGCGGGAGAGCACACGCGTGCTGTCCCGCACATTGAACGCCCGTGCGGGAGAGCACGCGCGTGCTGTCCCGCACATTGAACGCTCGTGCGAGGTGGAGAAGGAGAGTTCGTCGTATGACATGTATTGACTTGTGGTGTTTATACGAAAGCAACGGCGGCTCGCATTGCTGGTTCAGGCGGGCGAAGACGTAAGGTTTCGTATATCAAAGAGATCATGATGAGTATTATTGCGAGATATCTGAATATCGTGAGCGATGATGTATCAATTGCGTATGGCTACATTAGAGGTACATGAGCGACGAGACGAGAAGGAGAACATTGGTGCGCGCGCGCGCGGAAACATGCAGATAGCGTACAGTAAAAGAAATGCAGGATCCCTGACGACTACGAGACCTCCTTCACGGCCTGCGCGTCTTCGTCCTCGGCGATGGCGTCCACATCGCCCGCGTCCATGGAGGCCGTTGCGTGGGCCTTGCCCTGGTCGAGCGAGAGCGAAGACGACATGTGGGACGACGCGGGGGTGCGGGACATGGTGGGAACGCTGACAGTGGAAGTGCGAGCGCGTCGGGTGCGCTGGCGGCCTCTGCGCGGTTTCTTCGCTGGGGGCGGTTTCTCCGGCTCATCGTCGATCATGCGCTTGGACGCCTGGACCATCTGCTTATTGCGAGAGGATGTACCTAATGAACGAGTAACGCCGTCAATGGGTGTGATATGAACGCGATAACAAAGTACTGACTAGCGGCAGGGGTCGACGTTGACGGCGAATCAGGAACGATTGATGAAGAAGGACCCTCCAGTGCGTCCACTGGCGTTCCCTCCGGCTGCGCGTCATGAGCGTGCGTGGACGCGATATGGGTCGTCGGATCGAGCGGCGGCGCCGCGATCAGAGCGTCGGAAGAGGAAAGGCGCTCTTGGATGTCGACGCGCGCAGAGGACGAGACGGCTGGGGAGGGGACGCTGGGCACCGACGGGCTGACCGACGAAAGTGGCCGATGGAAGTCGCCGGGGGACTGGAGCGGCGTCGGAGGGAGATGCTGCCTGAGCATCTCGAACAGGAGCTCTGCGGCGTTCCTCTGCGCCATGCCAGGTTTGAGTACATCAGGGCACCGCGCCCTGAGCAACTCGCGGTACTCTGTGTGACACTCGGCAGGCAACCGGATCGGGGGCAGAGCGGCCACAGCGTCCAGGGAGTCCTCGAGAGGGCGATAGGTGAGCATGGCGAGAGCGCATTCCTTAGGACGCAGACCCTCTATCACCGAGTCCCAGAGGCACTCGATCACGTCCTGGTCCGCCATATCGTCGAGCTCCGACCAAACGTCATCGAAGAGATCGTCACCGGGGCGGACAAGTTCCATGTTTATGTCGTCCAAATCGTCCCACTGTGAAAATGACACTGCCGCGATGAGGAGGCGGACCAGGGGAGTGCGATTAATCACATCGCCGTCGTGGTAGTCGACAAGGACCGAGGACTTATCATCGAAGATCGGTATCTCCTGCAAGTGCCTCTGGATGGTCGTGACCTCGGACGTGAGCTGGCCGGCGTTGTCGTCGAACATCGGGGAGTCATCGTCCTGCGCGCGCTCGACCGAGTCGATGTCGCCGTGCGATGGAAAGGACGTCGTGACGTCGTCCGTCGGGAGCTCTTCGACGGGCGCTGCCTGCGAAGTGTGCCCGTCGTGAACCATCACAACGTCATTGTCGACTTGGTCCCCGCCCTGTGAGACGGAGTGCGAAGGGGCGTTGTTGTCCTTGACAGCTTGCTCGGCGCCCTCCATGTCGACGTCCTCGTCGCGAGGAGGGGCATGGGACCGAGTGATACGGGTCGAATGCGGGACGACGGCGGCGTCGGCGGTCTCCGAATAGTAATCTGAGTCGTCGTCGGCGTTGACGTGCTCCTCAGACTTCAGCATGTGGGGCAGGAAGGCGTCGCTGAGGAGGGCGTTGCGCAAATATTGCTTCCTGCCGTCAAGGTCCATGGCCTCCGACTCTGCGTCCGCCGGCGGCATGAGGGTCATCTCCGGAGGTGCGAGATAGACGTCTTGCGGGAGGAGCTCCTCGATGTCCGGCACGACGACAGCGGGATCCGTCTCCTTGTCCTTCTTGAGGGCGGCGTGCAGGAGGGCGCGGCGAGCGATGTAGTCGCTGTAAACGTCAGGATCGCGCGCCTTGAGCTCGGCGAGGGTAGTGTAGTAGTTGGGGTCGTGGAGTACTTTGACGGGAGGGCAATCGATCATCTGCAGATTCGTGGTGGGGAGCACGTAGGGCACATTGGGGAAATCCCTGCGGAACTCCGAACGGTTCACGTTGTTCACCAGTTTCTACAAAGCGGCAGTGAGCGGACGGTCATATCCAGTGAATACGCGGCGTCGAAGTCATACCGTGATCAAATTCTCGACGGCTGCTCCGACTTCGCCCTCCATGAGCCCCTTCTCCGACGGCAGGTACTTCACGAGAGGTGACTTCTCGAGGAACTTGACCAACTTTTTCATGCCGGAGGTGTACGCATCCAAGCGTTGACGCTTCTCTGCGAGCTCGCGCATCTCGAGTTGGTAATCGCGGATCTCGACAGGAAGGGACGCATTGGCGAGCAGACGATCAACGATCGATTTGTCCCATTGAACGCGACTCGTAACGGCGACGTCGATGGTAGGAACCTGCCGCGAAGAACCGGCAACAGGCGGGGGGTGGAGGGTGCCCTGCGAGGGGCCTGAGTCTGGCTGCTCCGTACGCTTACCCTGCTGGTCAACGGGATGGGGAGGCGCCATCCCCCAGTGCTCGTCGAGAAATTCCATGAACTGCTCGCGGAGGCAGCGGCCAACGTCGGTCGAGAGCATGTGGCTCATCGTCCGCTCGTACCACTTGTGAGCGACGAAAATGTAGAATGCGATGCCGTGCATGCCCCGAAGGCGCGCCTTGGAATCGACCTCTCGCCACTCCACGAGATGTACGTCAAGGAGGTTGACGCATTCGTACTTGTCGTGGACCTTTACGCCGAGGGAGTGTTTCTTCGACCGAGGGTAGCGCAGCACCATGTTCTTGGCCAGACGCTCTACTACGAGCGGCTTGGGGACGTTGAGGTGCAAGGAATGTCCAATTGCGTCAATCTCGCGGGTGTACGACGGCAGCCAACCATCCTCGCCGAGGATGTCGATCCAGGGGGCGGAAAAAGTGTCCCATGCGGGATCGTCCAGCTGATCCGCGTAGCTCAGCGCGGAGTTATGGATGTTTGTCGACATGCTAAAAAACCGCGTGGTGTGAATGCCGTTGAACTGCTCAAGCTCAACGTCCGCACGAGTGAGCTCGGGAAGGCGATGAAAGATCCACTCCCAAAGCTGCGCGACAGAGCGTGATCAGTGAAGTATACGCTTCGTAATAAATAAAAAATGCGACCCACCTTCCACGGAGGATCGCTGCGGTGGGGCATGAGCAGGGGATCAGCCAGGTACTCGCGCATGTGCGAGGTGTGGTCCCAAATGTTGACGGGTGCTGCCTGTATGGCCTTGTCGACCATGGGGTCCAACTGCCTGGAGAGCTGTTGGGAACAAGATGTCAGATTTTTCTCCTTCATTTATGGTGTGATTCGTTGATAAAAACGCGCATGTCCCACACGTCTGCGCTATCGCCTGCCTGTAACACTGCGCGGGAGAGCACACGCGTGCTCTCCCGCACCTATCCCGCACGTTTTGGCCGAGATGTGCGCGCGCGAGAGCACACGCGTGCTCTCCCGCACCTATCCCGCACGTTTTGGCCGAGATGTGCGCGCGCGAGAGCACACGCGTGCTTTCCCGCGCCCGCATACGGTCCGAACGAGGGCGGCGCACATCACGGCGAGCTAACGCGCGTGATGGACAAGGGGAAGTGAGACTTACCCATTGTATGGCAAACGAGGCGCCTTGAAGGACCGAGTACATGTCCTCTAGCATGGACGTAGTTGGCCAGGGGAGCACAAGGCAGTCTGCAAGTTCGCGTTGCGCTCCCCACCACTGGAGCTTCCCAAGCGCAGACCGTTGAGCCTGCACGGTCGTCGGCGTCGTCGGTGTGTGGGGGTCCTCGCTCCACCATTGATCGCACGTCCTCACCATGACATTCCAGTACTTGACCATGCCCTCCACCCATTGTGGGCACGTCGAAGATCCGAAGTACTCCTTGTGCGGGCGCAGATACTTCACATACAAGGCGTCGATGGACGCCATGAGCGTCGGGTGCCAGATCTCGCGCTCTTCGCTCGTGGCGTCGCGCAGGAGGCTCGCGAGGGTGATTTGCATCGCGTCCTCGGCCTTGTTGAGCGTCTCAAGAGGTGTGTGTTCGTCATTTCTGAGACGGATGTACAACCTCAGGGTTTGCATGTCCTTCGTCAGCTCTGGGTCGTTGAACATCTCCTGCTCCGTCATGCCCGATCTCGATTTCATGGGGTGCACGAGACCGAAGCGCGAGGAAGAGGCGATGAACGTCATCTGATCGACGAGCAGTGCGAAGACGTCGGCCCACATCTGCATGAAATGTCAGAACACCGTATGTGCGCCGCAAAGGGAAAAGAGAGAAAAGTACTCACCCCTCCGACCGTGTTGTCGAGGCGCTTCTTGTGGATGCGCGCGATATGCTTCGCCTGCGTAAACAAGAGCCGTTGCCGGAGCGCGGACGCCTTGACGGTCTGCCCGTTGCGCACATAGGTGAGGCGGAAGATGTTGGAGAGGAAGGTGAACGAATGTGGGTGGACCAACAACCGAGCGTTGCCCCTCTTCATCGCCTTGTCGCCGACAATGGGTTCCAAGACGTTGTCTCGATAGCTCGCGCTGCCCAAGATGTCCTCCGGATTCTTGCGCTTCGCGAGAGCGTCGACGACGTGGAAGTGGTGCTTCTGCAAAGTTTCCTCTGCGGTCTGCGGATACGACTTCTTGTTGTCGTTCTCGGAGAGATGGAGGATGACGCGCCGGTTGTCCTTGATCTTGTCTGCATACGTTCTGCGTGTTAGTGCGCGTCGCTACGAGGGAGAGCGCACGACCTTGCCTTTGTCATACACCGCAAATAACCACCGGAGGGGATCGCCCACGAGCGACCGGACGTTGTCGCGGATGTAGCGCAAACGCGCCAGCGAGGCCTCCTTCTCCTGCTCGTTGCGCCTCGCATTGTGCAGCTTTTCTATCTTCTGGTCCATGCGGTCGACATCGAGCTTCAGCTCCTTCTCGCGCTCCTGAAGCGCGCGCTGGCGATGCTGCCCGCCGAGGATGTCGACCCATTGGTCATCCACCGCGTTCGTCCATTGGATGGTCGGGCCGTCGTCGCTGGTGATCGCCTCTTTGGTGAGGCACCCGGGCTCTATGTACCTGCCATCCACGACGATAGCGATAGGGTCCCTCCACGGAGTGATGCCCTGCTCGATGAACGATTGCTTGAGTTGGGCGAGCCTCTGAGGGCTGATTGCGCGCGCGTTGCCTTGGCCGAAAAACCAGCGAAAGCCCTGGTCGTCGGAAAGCGAGCCGTACCCGAATCCGAGGAACGCCTCCGCTGCTTGCGCGGCGTCCTCCTTCGTCAAAGTCGTCTTGCTCGCCTCGGCCACCTCAGTGCCCTTGAGAGTGACCCTGACGTCCCCAGCCGTCACACCCCGCGCGGGCTTCGCGACGGCCTCTGGGTCGTCCTCGGTGTTCTTGCGGGACTTGCGCTTCTTCTGTGGATGAATATCGTTAGCATAGGGAGCGCGGGATGAGGGCGCGCACTCGCCTTCGGGGCCGCGTCGGTGTCCGCGGTTTTCTTCGCCCTCGCCTTCCCTTTCCCTTTCGCGTTCTTCGGCGGCGGCGAGTCGATTTCATCCTCGTCCTCGTCCTCGTCCTCGCTACCCTCGCTGTCGTCCCTGTGCGGGATGAGGATAACATCGCGAGGGGGATAGTGCTTGGCGGCGAATTGTGACGCGCGCGCTGCGCCTTGGGTTATCTGAGTGGCTCATTGTGTTAACAGACCACATAACGCGCTCTGTACTGGCGGACAGGCTTACCTTTCCCTTGCGTGTGGGCGCGCCGGCATCCGTCTCGGCTCCGGGAACAAGGGGGGGATCTTGCGGTGCGCCACCGTCCGACTCCCCGTACTCGGCCGGTTGTTGTTCCGGTTCGGGAAGATCAGCGTCGCCGGTGCCACTGCCGCTCGGGGCGTGTGGCGCGCTGCCATTACCATCCCCTGGGACGGTTTGAACCTTCTTCTGATCGTCGGGAAGCGAGCAACAGTGAGCATGTGCTATGTATACTGGCTCCGCGAGGACTCTCACCTTCGGCTTCGTGTTCCCAGCTGGGGCGCGTGGCACCCTTCCGTCCGGTGTGCCGGATGAGGTTTCCATGTCGTCTAGATTCGCACAGTGGGAACGAACAATCGAGATGAGCTGATGTCGAGCAAGCGTCCGAAAGAAGGTTGAGAAAATCTGGGTTAGGGAGCAGATGATGAAGGAGCGCTTGGGCCATGTGCCCTATCTCTCTCGCGTCTATTGCCTAATTTGGGTACCTCAACGCTGCTTCTGCCCTACCACCGCACAGCGCTCCTTTCCCGGACCGTCTTCCCCGGGATGTTTGGAATGCATGACCTACGTTGTAATGGGCCCAGGGTGCGTCCAGGAAGTGCAACGCGTACACCGATATCCTACTGGTATATACGCCCCGACGTATTGTACCATCATGAAGCGCCGACTACGATACCGTGTGCCTGGTCGATCATTGCGAATACGGGTTTTACTTGTTCGTCTGTGTTGGAACATAACATACACGCGTTCTCTAGCATCGGACCGACGTGCATGCTGGGTGCGGGGCGGCACCCTCCATGACGGGGAGGGAGACCAACCGCGTGCTCTTGCGCTCGCGTCCACCGTGCCCTATGTAAGGCGCCATGGTTGTGCTCCGTACGAGGACAGCGGCGGTCATACTAAATATATACGCGGGGAAGCGGACACAGTAACAGCGTTCGATGACATTGTCGTGTTCACTAGTGGCAAGTAGGGTCCTGCATCATCTACTGGGCTATTCGCGCTTGGTACAGCAATTCCATGCGACACGATGTGTGGCATTGGCGCCGCGACGACGTTCCACGTCTCGCTATCGTGGACTTGGAGTGTCCAGCGTGTTTGAGGCGAGCGCGGGAGAGCACACCCGTGCTGTCCCGCAGGTTTGACGCCGGTGCGGGAGAGCACGCATGTGCTGTCCCGCGCGCGTTCTCCGGAATAAATGGGCGCGCACACGTTACCTTCGCGTAAGATCACGTCGATATATGATGTGCAACAGACGGATACATACACGGATTTCGGCACAACAGAGGGAGATCTGCGGGCGTATGAACAGGAAGATTGTTCGTATAGTTGGAGCGACTGTAGAGGGTGACGGTGAGTAGTGTGCTCGCGTTGAAGGATATGATGTTCTCACCCATCCCCCTGGATTCAGAACGCCCGATGCGAGTCGAATCCTCAGCGTCCTGGCTGATGTCACAGAGACCGTCCCTCATACACGGCGACCTCCAGCATGATGCCAAGGACCTCGACGGAAGCCATCGCTCTCTCCAGGTGTTCGCCCCAGTTGTTCCCCCTGCGGAACGAGCAGCGCGTCATGACGAGCAGCAGCAGAGCTCGTTCTTCGTTCATAGGACCTACGGCCGTCTCGGTGATGTGCGCACGCCAATCTGCCCTCTGTGTGGGCTCCGTAAATGCTGTGTCGACGATCAGGCCAGACTGAATCGAGACGAGTAGAATGAATTCGATGTCCTCGCCGGTGAGCGATCGAACGAGCTGCACACAATGTGGTAAACGTCTTCATGCGTTGTGCAGACCTGCAGGATGGCTCACCTCGCGCCGTTGTCGGGGTATGCGAGATATGGCGGTCCCGATATCCACGCTGGCCGCTGCATCAAAGATGGACGCCAAAGTGTCGTCGCTCGACGTAGTCGGGCGGCGGTGCGCTCTGTGGCGGCGTCGGCGGGGCATATTGTCGCTGTGATGATCGGTGGTGGTGATTCCGTTATCGGTGCGCGCTCAGCGCCGACGGTAGATTGACGAGAGATGCAGGTGCAGAGGTGCTGTGACTTTGAGTTTCGGCGAAGGAGGCTTCTCCCGCTTCACGCGACGGTGTTGATGTTCGTACGTACAGGCCGTTGTCTTTCCTCAAGCGATCTCTCGCGCTGACTCTGCTATCAGAATGCAGTCTCAGAGCACGAATGCGATTCGCACAGCGCTGCTAGCGAGCGTGGGCCAAACGGACGACTGCACAGCTGAAACACCTTTAAATCGCTTACAGCGGATATGCGACAGGAAAATGAACCGCGAACAGTTTTCGAAAACGCACTGTTCGTACTGCGGCAAGTCGAGTGAAGTGGCTCTAAAGTGCTGCTCGCACTGCAAGTGAGTTACCTGGGTTATTTTCGTGAATATACGCTGATCAGCGGCACACGCAGGGGGGTGCGCTACTGCGACGAAGCGTGTCAGCGCGCGGACTACAAGCCGCGCCACAAACTCGCGTGCACCACGTTCGCACGTTTGCCGACGACGATGGCATTCCAATCGGAGGCCGACGCAGAAGAGCGATTCCCGCAGCACCCTGTCTTTGCCCACGCGCACAAAGACGACGTGGGGATGTGGGTCACTATCGAGGGCCGCATCGATTGCAAGTGCGTGCTGACTTTGGCGATACGACTTTCTGCCTGCTAACACAACACGCATGTGGACAGGTTGCAGCCTCTGTTGGACAGCCTCGATCCAGAGGTCCTGAGGGAGCGCTACATCAACACGATGACTGGGCCCGCCGCAGACGCCAGCTACGCCATCATGCGGACCAACAGGGCGTACAGTTGTAGCCTGCTCAGCCTGCGCATCCTCGTGCAGAATCGCCGCAAGGACGACGCACCTATCCTCGTGTTCAGCTCGCGAGCACAGATGGTCGTCAAGGCGTCCTCGACGGAGGCGGTGCAGCGAGGCAAGACAGACTGCGACAACGCGGTCACGTTCACGCAAGACGGGTGTGTGCATAACCAATTACATTGCGCAACGGTGTTCGTGCTGATCTCGCGCATCATCTACAGTATCGAACGCACCGTCCTTGGCGTCGCCAACGACCCATGGGACCACGTGCCTAGGTTGCTTATCCACCAGTTCAACACCACTGAAGTGAGTCGCGCCGCATATTCACGTTGACGTGCCAGCCGCCTAACTTGCGTTTTCTGTCTAGCACGCAGAAAACATGATGGGCTCCCGTTACGTCAAGGACGCCGGCCAAGGGATTGTGCGCCTGGCGAAGGGCGACTTCGTCGTCTTACAGCTGCAGTTCCGTGTCGGCGATGGCGACACGATCGCCAAGGACTGGCAGGCTCTCGACGCTGTCGAGTGTATCGCCCTCCCTTGGGCGCCGTGGGACGGGGTCGTGCGTCCCGCCGTGCTCGCTCGCGACCTGCCCGCGATCCAGTCCGAACCCACCGTCGACGTCGGCCCCACGGGCGGTCGTTTACTGCAGGCGCTGTTCGATCGTGACACCATTCGCCACTACTTTGCGGACATGATAGATCGCGGTGAGGACGCGTTCATGCGCAGCCACCTGTGCGCGGACCATGCGGACTTGGCGCGCAAGATTAACGACTCAAGAATAACCATGGGGGACAAATTACTCAAGAGGATCACGGAATCTGGCAATATGGAGTTGCTCTTGGAACGTCTCCGTGCATGTGGCAGAGACGATCTCGTCGCGAGGCTTCAATAGTTATTTGTGTATCTTACCTGGGTCGTATACGCTCGAAATATGTTCCCGACGACAACGACGATTCGTATCGCCTCAGTCAATTGAAGAACATGCAAAGTTGACACTGACGCTGTGACGAGACGCGGTCCGTAGAATGCGCAGGGGGCGGGAGAGCACACGCGTGCTCTCCCGCGCACGGACACAGGAATAAACGCGTGCGGGAGAGCACGCGTGTGCTCTCCCGCGCATGGACACAGGAATAAACGCGCGCGGGAGAGCACGCGTGTGCTCTCCCGCGCATGGACACAGAAATAAACGCGCGCGGGAGAGCATGCGTGTGCTCTCCCGCGCATGGACACAGAAATAAACGCGCGCGGGAGAGCACGCGTGTGCTCTCCCGCGCATGGACACAGAAATAAACGCGCGCGGGAGAGCACATGCGTGCTCTCCCGGGGTACATGTGATATGCTTTATGTGTCGGGAGGTTTGTGCAGGGCAACCCTGTTGTCCTCTTTGAAAGACGTATATGACTGGTGTTTGACGAAGCGCAGTAAGCAAGGTGTGCACGGCAAGACATCGTCACTGGCTAGTGCAGGAACGGAACGCTCTCGGAGTCGGTTATCGATGTATTAAACGGACTGCATTATGAGATAGGTAAGCGTAGGGAGATGGATTATGTCGATAAAGGACTACACTACACGTCGACGTCTAGAGGGGATACAGAATTCACCAGCTTCTTCGTTGTCGACGAGCCATGCATCGTCGTCTGCGGCGAAATCGGCCAGAGAGCGCTTGGACGAAGTGCGACTTGAAGACGAAACCGCAGTCGACGAACTGCTGCTGGAGACGCTGCGTTGAGAGGAGGCGGGTTGGTCCGGGAAATGACCGCTGCCGGCCAGTCTAGCCGCAACTTCTCCACCGAAGATTTTGGTGACGAGCGCGAAGGGGCCTCGAGGACCCTGCTGCTTAAGCATGGATATTACCTCCTTGTGCCAGACCATGAGCTCGTCGTCGTCGAGAATTTTGAAGTTTGTGTTGAAGACCGGACGAGTGGTGACGGCCTTGCCGATAGGGTATGCGAGGCCCATGCGGATGAGGTTGATCGGCGTAAGTGACTTGGGTTCTGTAAAAGAAGTCAGCGGCGCTCGGAAGACGTGACAGACGGGCACGCATAGGGACGGACGTACGATGCTTAGTGCTCCAGGGAGCACCCAGCCCGCTGTTGCCCACTTTCTTCAAGCACTTGCGCAGCGGGGAGTCTTCGCTGATCCAGCACAGAAAGACAATCGACGCCTGCGTGAAGTAGATTTCCTCCTGGTGCACTCCGTTGACGTCGCGGACCGTCCAGCTGAGCGTGCGGATGACGTTGATCGCCGCGCGTCTGGATGAGGGCGGGACGGCAGACTTAGGGCCGTCGATACCCAGCTTTGATAGCAGGGGGATGATTTCCTTGCACGGGGTTTTCCACGCGACGGCGGGTATGACCTTTGAGATCAAGAACGCCAGGATGAGGGCGAGGTCGCACTTCCAGTCTGACCGTTTGTGAACAAACTGAGACTTCGCCCATTCGTAGCAGGCGACGGTGAACTGGTCGGTGTCTTTCTTGAGCATTTCCGGTGTGATGTTCCAGCTGTCCGGCAGCACCGTGCGATCGAGGTGTTCGTGGTAGTCTGCGATGATGACCTCCCTCGTGTCCCAATCGCTGCTCCGGTCGCTCAGCTTCTGCCCGAGCGAGTTCTGTGACATCTCGAATTGGAAGCGCTCCGTCTGAGTCATCGGCGCGGACCGTCCGGGAACCACAGCCAGGCGCGCTCGCGGTCCGACGAGCGACCACGACCGAAAGGAGGGCTGGAGAGAACGGCGGTTGCTGTTTCCGGACGGAGGGAGGGAGTCCGGGTAGAAGTGAATGCGACGCTCCTCGACGATGGTGATGAACGCGTCCTTGATAGCCTCATCGGCGGCCGCAGGCTCCATCGCCTTCAGCGCGCGAGATTGCGCCTGCGCGACGGCGGCACGCAAGACCGGCCAACACTGCCCCTTGTTCCAGATGGGGGGGCGGAGCGCGGCGAGCCCGGTGGTCTTGCCGACGTGCAAAAAATGCTTCACGAGATCCTCCACGCTCTGTTGCCCGCGGTTCGACGGGGGAAGGCCACGAGCGGCTTCAATGGAGTCTCTTGCGACGGCCTGAACGAGGATGACGTGCGTCGCCGCATCCTGACCCCAGTCGAGAGGGTGTTCGATCTCGAGCCACTTGATGAGCGCCGTCCGGCGAGTCTTCGCAGCGGAGTAGCCTTCAGCGTCCTTGTCCTCCAGGATCGGCAAGATCTCCGCGCGGATCTGCGTGCGCACGATGTCACGCACGTCCGCGATGAACGCGTCGACGGCGATGTTGGCGAGAACGCGGAGCTGACGCCCAAGCGCGGTAGCGTCGGGCCAGCGGTCAGGTTCCATATTCGCGATGGCGGTGTGCATGTGCATGAGCGTTTCGTACGCCTGGAAGACCCGCATTAGAGAAAGCGTAGAGAACGAGAGACGGGAGCGCTCACCAGATAATGGGGCAGCCCATACGAGATCTCCTGGGCGCGCTTGGAAGAGGTCAGGGGCCGGTAGGTGACGGGATCGACCGGCCATTTCGAGATATCGAGCATGGGGGTCAGCTTGCGTGGTCCACCCAGAGAGAGCACGGGCGAAATGACCGGATATCCGGTGTCCAGGATGCCGCGCAGTATCCACAGCTTACGCATGAGAGCGGAGGGGAGGACCTTCGCGGCGCCGGTGTAGAGGTAATTGTGCAAGCGTTCCAGAACGCTGATGCCTTCGACGTAGATCGGGCTGGGTTGACGACTGAGCGACGCAACGCGATCGGGACGTGACGGGTTGGACCGTGAGGTGCCGGCGACCGCCGTGGCCTGAGACGAGGCCGAAGCGGCGGAGAAGACACCGACGCGGATGGCCTGTGCGTTGCACCGGAGATGCGGGGCGAGATGAACCTTCCACATCCGGTCCATAGCGGCGGTGACGGGGAATCCAGACCAGACGTACATGTTCAAAAAGGACTAGAGCGAGGCAAAAAAAATCGAAGTGAGACATCGTAAACACATACGCTGCGAGGAACGCATGCATACCTCGTCACGAAAGACTACGCAAGCGGCGCGCAGAGGGTCGATAACGTCGGCGCGTAGGCAGATCCGCTCATAGGGCACGACGAACTGGGTGTAGAGGGCGCTGCCAGAGCGGTATCTGTCCTTGAGATGCGTGAAATCGATGAGGAAGTTGTTCTCCAATCGGAGAAACGTCTTGGGACCTGTCGCCAGTTGGTTCGCCATCCTCTCGTGCGGAAGGCCGATATCCGCCTGTCCGAAGAGGGTCCACGCCGTATTCTCCGCGGTCGGTGTCGTCGCCCAAGGACCGGCGGCCGCTCCCGTAAGCACGCCTCTCTGTGCGAGGTGGTGTCGTTTGCTGACGCGCATACGATGGGACATGCTATTATAGCACTGGCTATTCATTCCTGTGAGCGCATTCCCGCCAGAGCCAGGCTGAGTGAGCGTTTTGGAAAGTCTCTGGATGTGTGGTACCATTGGGCGGATGATACCGTTTGCCTGCCACTGCCCAATGTTCTTGGAGAACATGTGGGGATAAGACGTGTAAGACACGTCATGGGACCGTGTGCGAGCACGAGATATCTGCTCCTCGTCGATCTCGAACTCTTCGTCCATGTCGCTGTCATCGACGACGCCAGCGGGCCCCGCGAAGAGGGTATGAAGGCAAGACAGGTTTTGCAACATGGCCCCGCGATCGCAGGCTCGGAGGCCGCGGGGCTTTCGTCGTGGAACCTGGACGCCGTCCGCGGTGAAGACACGGCGCTCGGTCTCCCCGTCGTCCTCCTTCTCCGGGTACGTCGAGAGATCCGGGACGAGGACTCGTGTGAGTTCGTTCGGCGAGTCGTAGAGAACCGGATGTTCTCTCATAATCGTCTGGGGATTGAGTTTGTCCCACCGAGGGACCATCGTGCAGCTAAGACGTACTATGAGCTGGGTGCACAGGGAGCAACGAAGACGTAGTGTATACGTACGCGTAATGGCTGGCAAACGCTACCGTCATTTTCCAGGCGTGAGAGTAGTCGAACTCGCGTTCCCACATGCGGGCTACTGCAGCGATGGTGGGCTCATCCTCGATGTCTCCGTTTCCAACGTCACGATTCTTGCCATAACTTAGAATGGCGACGACGGGTACGGAGTCGTCGATCTCTGGGAAGGCGTACCCCGATGGCGCATCGCGATGGGTATACCACGGCTTGAACGTCTTTTTGAACGACTCGCAGAACATACGCATCCGGCCGACCGACAGTTTCACAGTCGGGCGAGTCCTAAAAACGGTGTGAGCCATGTTCCATATCGAACACATACGCAACAAACGACGTTCGCGGAGAGCGCAAGTCCTCGTGCGGGAGAGCACTCGTGTGCTCTCCCGCGAGAGAGGCGTGCGGGACAGCACTCGTGTGCTCTCCCGCGAGAGAGGCGTGCGGGACAGCACACGTGTGCTCTCCCGCACGGGCATCACACTGCGGGACAGCACTCGTGTGCTCTCCCGCACGGGCATCACACTGCGGGACAGCACTCGTGTGCTCTCCCGCACGGGCATCACACTGCGGGACAGCACGCGTGTGCTCTCCCGCGAGGGAGGCGTGCGGGACAGCACGCGTGTGCTCTCCCGCGTACGAAATGCGTGAGTGACTGGTACGGTGGGGTCATCCAGCGCCGCACAGGGGAAGGTTGACGTGGACTGCGTACGGTGGATCAGACTCACTTGATATCCCAGTACAGATTGAAGATCTTGGACGACGAGTTGTCCGGGTATGGGACCGGGAGGGACACATCGGACAGACCGGCCTGGTCCATGGCATGGAGGATGGACGTCACCATGGCCAAGGACAGCTCGGGGCGCATCACCGTCGGCTTCTTGCTGAGATGGACTTCATGGGGAGAGACGGGAGCGTCGAAGGAGGTGCTTGGGACGAGCGCGAGCCAGACTTCTTCGTCGGAACACGTGGTGCCGATCCGTAACATTCGCCCAGCCATATCGCATCCAAAGATACGCACGTCACCGCCGAACAGATGGAACCGTTTGTCGAACTCGAACGTGAACTGCCAGCTGTGGTCTTGCTCGGCACCGCGGACGTTGAGGTTGGGGAGCAGAATATCGAAGCCCAGCTCGCGCCCAATGAGCAGGCGGTGGTCCATGTAGACCTGCGCGCGGATGTAGCGGCGATGCGACGGAGCGGCGAAGGGACTCACCTTCTTCATCTTGAACATCATGTTGGGGTCCATCGCGTTGAACATGTACTTGTCGTCGATGTGCAGACGGTTCTTGCGGCTGAGAATGGCCAACGCGCGCGCCTCGTCCTTGGCCTTGTACAGTTGTTCGAGGGTCGACATCTTCAGGGTGAACGTCTTGAGCTCGCCATACCTTCGTGACATCTCGGTGTCGTCAACCCTCTCAGACGAGATGCTGTTCGTAATGGTCTCCTGGTCCACGCCGTCGTCCGCGACCATGGTGACGGGGACCCAGTCTTCAACGACCATTCCGGCGGGGGACTCAGCGTGACTGCCGATGGTGAAGGCGGACGCGCCGAGGACGGTGTCCTCCAGTTGACCCTCGAGGGTATCAACCTCGGAGTGGATCATATGCCTGCGTTCGGTCAGATTGTAGAGTCGTTTCAGCGGTGCATTTGCGACGTACTGTTGGGGATGCACAGGGCGTGCGGTGCGGCGAGACATCGTTGGACGGGGTGGACGGTGCGTACTCGAGATGGTAGAGGAGTGGGGTTAGCTATGCGCACGTAGCGTCCTCCCTCGTCTGTCTTATTGAACTCGGCTCCGGGTGACCTCCCTCTGAAACGAACCCCCTGCGCGCTGCACAGGGTCTGGATCAATGGCCAACCGCACGCGCATCGCCCTGGAAATTCGCATACTTGCCCATCAAATTGGACGGAAACAAGAGAGTGGAAATATGGACGGACGAGCCGTGTCTCGCCAGGAGCATGGAAACTAATTGCTATATACGGAGTGGGCTGTGGAGCGGAAGAGGGTTGTCGCAAACGGTCGATCTCCATAGCACACGTGTGGCCAATGACAAGAATAGATCGGCGACATGCATTAGACGCGTATTACTGGATGCTGGGTACATGAGGGACGAGATGAGAAAGCGGAGATCGACGCCGGCCGCGCGGAGGCTGGTAGATATGGTACGGTAAAAGAAACGCAAAATCCTGCACTAGGCGAACTCCTCCATGGCCTCGTCCTCCTCCTCCTCGGAGATGGCGTCGGTAACAGGCGGGACTTTGGACGCGTTGGCCCGGGCTTTGCCCTTGCTGGTCGAAGTGCGCGCGACGGACGGGACTGCGCGCGCTGACCCGGACGCGCTCGCCATCGACGTGCTCCTGGCGCGCGTGGATCGGACCACCGATGAGCTCCGAGCTCTCTTCGCGGGCGGTGGGCTCGACGGCGGGTCCTCGACGATGCGTTTCGATGAGCCGGTCTTGTCTCTGGAGTTGCCTAGCGAACGGACGAAGGAGTGAGCGCGCAGGCGGTATAAACGCATTCACAAAGCACTCACGAGGGGCCGGCGTCGGCGTGGATTGCGGCTCCTGAATGGAGGAGGATGGCATCAGGGAGCTGTCGGGCTGCGTACCCTGCTGCGTCTGAGTGGACGGCACAAATATCGACGTGAGAAGGAGCGGGTCCTCGATGGCGGCGCGCAGAAGCTCCGCCGCAATGAGCTGCGGACCACCTTCCGTGTAGACTTCGTCGTTAATGCCAGCGGCACTGAACCGCTTCAGAAGCTCCGCCTCGAACGCGTCGGACAGCCCGTCGGCGAGTCCAACAGGAGTCATCCCCAGGACTTTGTTCTTGACGTTGCCGAGGGACTTGAAAGAAACCACCGCAAGCGCGTAGTGGACGGCTTTGACGGGCTTGATCGCGGCATCGGAGATCAGGTGTATCAGCTTCTCATCGGGCATTTCTGACAGCTTGTCCCAGATGAGGTCGGTGTTGATACCGTGGCCGACGAGAGGGGTGTCGTCGCGGATCTTCGGGAAGTGCTGCTGCAAGTAGACTGCACACGAAGTAATCCCAACGCGCTGCGTGCGTGAAATACACTGCGCCGGGTAGTCGGGCGCAATCCTAGACTTTGGCGGAACGGTCGACTTTGAACTCTTGCCGACGACGGGGGAGGGAGGGCGCGGAGGCGAATCGACCGCGGACACGCGACGCGATGGCGACGACCGAGGCAGAGATGTGGCGAGTCCAGCTTCGACCTTGACGAGCATTCGATAAAGGAGGCCACCCGCGATCAACTGGGCCTCGCCAGGCTTGAGCGGTAAGGCAGAGAGTTTCTTCGCCAAAAGTTCCCGGTATCGCTGATGATGTTGCTCAGGAAGGCCAACGGGGGGTAGACTGGCTACCGCTTCGACGGTGTCCTCCAGAGGGCGGTACGTGAGCATGGCGAGAGCGCATTCTGTCGGACCGAGTTCGGCGATCTCGTCGTCGTCGAGACCCTCGATCAACTCCGCATCCTCCATCGTGTCGACGGCCTTCCAAGTTGAGTTGACGTACTTGGCAGGGGGGTTGTGGATGTCGATGCTGTCGATGTCGACCTTACCGTTCATGAAGGAGGTCGCAGCGCAGAGGAGACGGATGAGGGGAGTGCGAGGGATCGCATCGCCCTCCTGGTAGTCAGACAGAAGGCTGAACCCGTAGGCATTGTTCTTGCCTTTGGCGTCGGCCTCCGCACGGTCGACCGCAACAGGGTCCTCGACGAGGTCTACATCGCTATCGTCGCCTGCGCCCGCGTTGTCAGCGACGCGCGACGCGACCTGCCAGTCGGCGTCCTCGTCGGCGTCCTCGTCGAACAGTCCGTCATCCTCGTCCTCGGTCACGCCTGTCTGTGCGGCGTCCATGTTGACATCTTCTTCGCCAGCGAGCTGCGCGCTATGGGATCGAGTCAAACGGCTCGAAGCGGGGACGGTGTCGCTGTTTCCTTGCCAATACATCGCATCTGAGTCGACCTCCTTCTCGTCGTCCTCGTCGTCCTCGACATCGTCCTCGTGGTCGACGAATGGCACCGCCTTCTGTGACTGCTGAAGTTGTACCAGGAAGGGGTCCGCGAACAAGGCGTTGCGCAGATCTTCCTTCTGACCCTCCAACTCAGGTTCGGGTTGAGGGGGGGCCGGAGGCTTGACGGTCTTTTCCGGAGGCGCGAGGGAAACGACTTGAGGGAGGATATCATCGATATCCGGGACCACGACGGAGGGATCCGTGGCCTTGTCCTTCGTCAACGAGGCATGCAGCAGGTCGCGCCGAGCGATGAAGTCGCCGTAACCGTCCGGGTCGCGTCGCTTGAACTCGCTCATGGAGGAATAGAAGTTGGCGTCGATGAGAGTCGGAATGGGGGGGCTGTCGATAAGCTCGAGCGTCCTCATGGGCAGGACGTAAGGTGCCGTGGGGTGCACCCTGCGGAACTCAGCGCGGTTCGCGTTGTTGATGAGTGCCTACAGAACGAGCGTGAGTGTCCGCATATCGCACGAAAACAACAGTAGAGCATACCGAGAACAGGTTCTCGAGGGCTTCGCCAACCTGGCCTTCCATTATGTCCTTCTCCGACGGCAAGTAGTGCGCCATGGGAGATTTCGCAATCGCCTTGGTGACCTGCTTGAGGACCGTCGCGTACCCATGCCAGCGTTCACGCCTCTCCGCAAGATCTCGCAGCGCAATCCGCTCTGAGCGAGACTTTGTGGGCGCGGACTCCTTCGAGAGGATACGATCGACGATCGCCTTGTCCCACTGACGGCGTGTGGTGAGGGCCTCGGTGACGGTGGTAATCCCTTGCGAGGGGCCCGCGCCGGGTGGGGTGTCCGTCTTGTCCTTGTCTTGAGCAGAAGAGGCAGCACGACGAGGCACCTTCCAATGCTCGTCGAGGAACTCCATGAACTCTTCGCGGAGCGTGCGTCCAAGCTCAATGGAGAGCATGTGCTTCATCACGCGCTCGTACCACTTGTGAGCGACGAAGATGTAGAACGCGATCGCTTTCATGGCGCGCGGCCGGGCCTTCTGATCCACGTATCGCCACTCGACGAGAGGGACGGTGAGGAGGTGCACACATTCATACCTCTCTATGACGTTCGGACCAAAGGAGTGAACCATAGCCCTGGGCGGACGCGAGACGGACTTCTTCGGCAAGGTGACGGTCGCGGGCGGCTTAGGGACGTTGACGTTCAAGGAGCTCCCAATCGCTTCTATCTCGGCGGCATACGACGTCTGCCAACCGCCCTCGCCAATGACGTCGATCCACGGGGCCGCAAACTTCTCCCACTCATCCATGTCAAGCATGGAGGCGAACGCCACACTGTGGTTGTGGTGCGACATGTTGAAGAAGCGGGTCGTCGACACCTTGTTGAACTTGTCCAGCTCAGCGTCGGCGATCGTGAGCGCGGGGAGACGGTCCAAGATCCATTTCCAGAACTGCATTACACAGATGCGTCAGCAGAGACAGTAAATCTAAGACGATATAGACTCACTTCGTTAGGGAGATTGGTACGGTTGCGCATGAGAATGGGGTCCATCATATACTCGCGCATGTGTGACGTATGGTCCCATATATCGATGGGGTCTCCTTGAATAGCTCGGTCCACCATCGGATCGAGCTGACGGCTTAGCTGTAAATGTAACCGAATTAGAACTGAAACCAATACATTGAGATGAATCTAAAGCGCGGGACAGCACAGACGTGCTCTCCCGCGAATGTCTGCTACACAAGGTGTGCGTGCGCGAGAGCACACGCGTGCTCTCGCGCGCACGCGCACTGAACCGGGACGTGCGTGCGGGAGAGCACACGCGTGCTCTCGCGCGCACGCGCACTGAACCGGGATGTGTGCGCGGGAGAGCACACGCGTGCTCTCGCGCGCATAGCTCGTGTACGTGGTCAAAGGACGTACCCATTGGATTGCGAAGGACGCGCCGTGGAGGACGGTGTACATGTCCTCCAGCATCGAGGCCGTGGGCCAAGGAAGGTCGATGGCCTGGCCTATGTCGCGTTTGAAGAGCGTCCACTGCAGCTTGCCGAGGGCGGATCGCTGGGCTTGTACGGTCGTCGGTGTCGTGTTAGTGTGGGGGGGCTCGCTCCACCACGCATCGCATTGCCTCAGCATGGCTTTCCTGTACTTGTCCATGGCGTTCGTCCACTCGTCGGACCTGCCACATCCGAAATACTCCTTGACGGGGCGCACATGCTTCACGTACAGTTCGTCGATGGACGCCATGAGCGTCGGGTGCCAGATCTCGCGCTCTTCGGTCCTCAGCTCGCCGCGCAGGAGACCCTCAACGGTGATCTCCATTAGGTTTTCCGCCTTCTTCACCGTATCGGCGGGTGCCCCTGGGTCGCGTTTCACCTGCGCGTACATTCGCAGGTTCTCCATGTCGTTCATGAACTTCGGGTCGTTCTCCATGTCGTTCTCCGTCCAGGCCGACTTCGATCTGCCTGGCATCAGGAGACCCCAGCGCGCCGAGTTCGCGATGAACATCATCTCGTCGGCCAGAAGCATGAAGAGGTGGGCCCACATCTGCACATAAACGTCAGTAATGTGCGCGCGCCGTTACTGGGTGAGATGCACTCACTCCGCCGACGGTGTCGTGGAGGCGCGCCTTGGAGACCTTCGCGAAGTTCTTCGGTTGCGTCCACAGCAGTCGTTCGTGCAGCACATTCGCCTTGATGGTCGAGCCGTTGCGCACGTAGGTGAGGCGGAAGATGTTGGTGAGGAAGTGGAAGGTGTACGGCTCCATCAACAGCCTAGCGCTGCCCCTCTTCATCTCCTTTTCGCCGATGATGGGCTTCAGGACGGTCTCACGATATTCGTCGCTGCCCAACGTGATGTCCTGGTGCTCGGTCAACTTGCGCGTCGCGAGGGTGTCCAAAATGTGGAAGTGATGCTTGTACAAAGTCTCCTCCGCGCTCTGCTGGTACACCTTCACCTTCTCGTTCTCCGAGAGATGGACGAGGACGCGTTGATTGCCAATCAGTTTGTCTGTACGCGCGTTAGTGCGTGCGCCTCAATGCGGATCCATTCCGGCTCGCTCACCGTGATCGTAGAAAGCGAACAACCAGCGGAGGGGGTCGCCCATGACCGACCTGACGTTGTCGCGGACGTGGCGCAAACGCTCCAGTGAAGCGGCCTTCTCCTGCTCGTTGCGCTTCGCGTTGTACAGCTTGTTGATCGTCTGTTCCATGCGGCGGACGTCCAACTTCAGTTCCTTCTCGCGGTCCTCGAGAACCCTCTTGCGATGTTGACCGCCGAGGATGACCAACCATTCGCCCTCGACCTCGTTGGTCCATTTGACGGTCGGTCCGTCGTCGGTCTGGATGACCTCTTTCGTCAGGCACCCGGGTTCGATGTAGTTCTGCTTCACGAGGATCCTGCAAGGGTCCCTCCAAGGCGTGATCCCGTAGTCGATGAAGGACTGCTTCAGATCCTTGAGGGAGCTGTCCTTGATTCCGCGCGGGTTGCCCTTGCCGAATTCCCACAGGAAGCCCTGGTCGTCCGAAAATGACCCGTAGGCGAATCCGAGAAACGCCTCCGCCGCCACCGCCGCGTCCTCCTTCGTCATCTTCGTCTTCTCCGCTTCGCCTATCTCCGTACCCTTGAGACGGAACTTGAGGTCACTGGGCTTCACTTGCGGCGCCGGCTTGGCTTCCGCCTCTTCCCCGTCGGAGGTCTTCTTGCGCGCGGCGCGCTTCCTCTGCAACTCGAGAGTGTCAGCGTGCGTCGGCGCATATGGAGGACGCGCGTGCTCGCCTTAGGGGCCACTGCGTCCGAGGCCGCCGTCTCGTTTGCCTTCCCTTTCCCTTTCCCATTCCCCCTCTTCGGGGGTGGCGCGTCCATCTCATCCTCACTGTCGCTGCTGCCGCTATCCAACGCGGCGAGCGCGTCCTTGGCCTTGGAGTTCGATGCGCGCGCGGGGGCCTTCGCACCCGTCTCGGCCGCTGGCAGTTTCTGGGACACACAACATCTGTCAGCGCGAGCGCGAGCAGGCTCGCGGGGTAAGCACTCACCTTGCGCGTGGCCGCGGTACCAGCGGGCGTGTCCTTCTCGGTTCCGGGATCAGCGGAGCGACGCGCCTGGCCTGGCGTTACGCCACCGTTGGAGTCTCCTGCTTTTCGGATCGGCTCCTTGCCTTGCTCGGAATGCGATTCTCCCGGTGGAGGGAGATCAGCGTCGCCGATCCCGCTGGCGCTCGGCACCGGCGGTGCGCTCCCATTACCAGCTGCTGGGGCCCCTTGTGCTTTCTGATGCTCGACAGCGTGGTCGCAATTAGTACGTGCTATCTATACTGACTCCGAGACGGTGCTCACCTTCGCCGTCGCGTTCGCCGGTCGTGGGCGTGGGGGGCCGCTCCCACCCTGTTTGCGTCCTGGTTTGTCCATCCGGTGAGGTGTCGCTAGGCGGACGCGAAGGGGTCGAGATGCTGCGATGTCTATCAGACGTGGGAGAGAAGCTGGAGCAAGAAGAGAAGGCAAGATGCCAGATGTGGGAGAGAGATGATGGGTGGTCGCGCTGGCGTGGAATCGAGCGCTGGCACCATGTGTCCACTGCCGCGTGCTGCCTGCCTATTTGGGCCACCTTCACGCTCCCTCTCCTGCTTCCTGCTGCACGCTGCCGTCCTACCCGTTTCCTAACACCTCGAGCAGAATTGCATCCGCTTTCGAAGTAGATGGAACTCAATGCGAGAAACACGAGAGCCAGACCCAACGGCGTCGCATCGCGCAGAAGGCTGCTGCCCGTTGATTACAATGTACCGTATGTCTAGTAATGATATAATAACATATGGATGATTTCCTCACATGTCCAGACACGTCAGGAGCATGTGGGACATTCCTCCACAGCGTACCTGTCAATCATAGGATATCGCGCGTGTGCTGTCGCGAATTGTGACCGTTCACAGTGCGCGAGAGCACACGTGTGCTCTCGCGCGCAGGCGTCAAAGATGCGGGACAGCACGCGGGTGCTCTCGCGCGCAGGCGCCAGAGGTGCGGGACAGCACGCGCGTGCTCTCCCGCGCAGTAGCTCATTTCAAATGTGGGCCAGTTCATGCGCGCGCTGCAGCACAAGCCGGATGCGCAATCTTCGAGTTGCCTATGTTTTCTTTCACACCCTAGCCGATCTGTACCACGTAGGTAGAGTCACAAGCGCATGAAATTATAGACATATATGACGAGGTACATCGTGCACTGTCGTTCCCATCTGCGCTGTCCGAGATAGCCTGCTTCTTTCCCTTCGACAAAGCTCCACAGGACCCTTCGCGTGGGCGCAATGCGCTTGCTTCTGTCATGTCCGTGGGTACGTTGTCACTCAATCTGGTATGTATGCTCAATCGCAAAACCGCTCACCTTGTTCTTCAAATGCGCGGGAGATGCAGACGGGTCCGCCGGCCATATTGGTCGACCGTCCTTTCAGGGCTCATCCTCTCCCAGATTGCGACGCACGGCGTTGATAGAGACCTCCATCAGTGTCGCCAGGTACATGGAGGTGGACCGGACGATCTCGACGTTCTCTTGCCAGTTGTTCGCCCGGCGCAGCAACATGCGAAACCCCTCCAGCAGTATGGCAGATCTCTCTTGGTTCATAGGTCCTATGTCGGCCGGCCTGCCCAGATCGGCCCAGCGCTGCCTCCCGTTGCCGTCGCGCGCTGCTCGGCTCCCTTGGTCTCCTTCCTCGGTCGAAGTGAACAGGCCGTCCTGGATGGATAGCAAAAGCATCATCCGGAGCTCGTGTCGGGTAAAGACGGGCTCAACCTGCGTGTTCGGTCTCTGGTGAGTCATGTGCACGTTTGTTCTTCAGTTCCATTCACTTACGTTGGGCTGTTCCTCCGCTGTGCGCGCTGGGGAAGTCATGGCTCGCAGTTGCGTACCCGCTTCGCGAATCTCCGTCACGCTCTGCTCGATCGGAGGCATATCGCCTCCCAATTCTCCTCTGTATCTGCGACGTCGTTGTCGGCGGTGTCCGCGGGGCATAGTGTCGTTGTGAGAGCTGCAAAGGCGCACGTGCATTCTGCCAGCCTGCTAGGTACATGTAGGCGCCGTCATGCTTCCTTTCGCCATATATGTAGTTGGTTGACTTCTCCCGTTCCACGCGACCCCCTGCGTTTTCAGTGGTCGGCGTTTCGTCTCCGGAACGCGTCGTACTGCAATGACAAACATCGCAGACTCCCCGCTATACACAGGCGGGATGGATCCAACCGCACAACCGGTGCCGTGCCACCCCCCGCTCGAGTTATCCTCTTGCCCGGAGTACTTTGAAATCGACGCCCGGCAGGGTCATAAGAATCCAGGTGTGCGCTCTGCGCCTGGTAGGTCCCTACGCTACCCTCCTGTCATGAAGCTAACGCATTTTCATCCCAGCGCCAAATTTAAGGGGCGGATCCGACAGCATAGTGCGCGTCGGAGACGCGTAAGTCTGCGGTAGCCCCTGCTGGAGCTCCAAACGTTGCTCACACTCGGGCTCAGCGTGTATTCGAATACGGCCATGTATTATGTTTGCGGATTGAGATACATCTCCAAAACGAACACCGTAAGCCACTGCGCGCACGTCGTGTCCCGCACGCTCGTGGCTGACGTTCGTAATTTTGTAGTTCGTCGCGCGAGTGTACCGTCTTCTCTCGACCACCACCCTACGCAAGACGACTCCCTCGGCAGAGCTGCCGAGCACTTTTAACACGATGTTTGGCCGGCTGGAAGTGTGCGCGCAGCTGCCCAGCATGGAAGTTCTCACCTCCCTGTTCACAAGCCGCGCGACCGTCACCGTGTTCGACCCGACCACCGTATCCCTCCCTCTGAGCAACATTCCGTTTCGTTATCTCCGTCACAACCTGTTCCTGAAGTCCACCCCCTCGGGTGCAGGCGCTAACCCTTGCTACGTGATGGTGAACGTGAGTATATCCGGTTCGCGCTCGCCATGATCCTGACCTTCTGCCACCTGCTAGCGCAACAGGAACGTGATCTGTCCTGGGAAGTGCCGATTCAGCCACATATATCGGCCGGACATCGACGTTCTGCGGTACTGTTACCGTTGCCACGCTTGGTTCCACCATGGCTGCCTCGTCACCGCAGGCGAGGAGGGCCTCGACGATCTACTGAGCCGCGACTTGTGGTGGGGACCGCCCACTCCGACGGCTACGCGGACGGACATCTTGTGGTGGTTCCTGGTGTCGGGCCCCATCGAGCGACAGTCGCTCGACATCAAAGGCAGGTCCAAGGATAGCAAGCCGCTGGTCGACAAGGACACTGTCCTCACCGGATGGGAGAGGTACATCTATTTCGCTCGAGACACGCATACTCGCTACGGACCTCCCGCCGACATCGATGCGTGGATACGCAGCGTCAACTTCCCCGCCGTCAAGGCGCTCGAATACTGCATGACGCATCGTTTCCGTAATGTGCCTCGCTATCATTGCTCTGTGTGTCTCAATTGTGTGTAATGTGCTCATCTGTCCGGTCGCCCCTATCGCTTGCCCTCTTGCTGTGTTGCTGTACGTATGCTACGCTCGCTACTTGACGATACCTGTAAATACTGTACCTCCGCTGTGCTCACGTCCGACCCCTGTTTCCGCCAAACCGCATCGCTCGTGTATTGCAAAATGTATCTAGCCACTGATTTCATTGTAACCACACGACACGGCGGACCGCGAAGGCAGAACCGCGCTGCTTTCCCGCCTCCTTCGTGAAGGAACGCAACATTACGTCAATTTTGAAACCCAGCCATAGCCGCTCTGGGGCCCTTGTGGCAGTGTCAACCTCCTCGACCTTGGACGTGCGATCAAGTCGCCGCAGAGATATGAACATCGAGCCAGCCAGCCCGCCGGAGATGGCCAATGCCACGGACAATTTGGGCTTAGCTCATGTAAGACGCATACTCGAAAACAAGAAACGCGAGGAACGCTTCGCCAAGACGCACTGCTCATTCTGCCAGAAGGACGGCGGCGACACTCCTCTGAAAATGTGCGCACGCTGCAGGTGCGCTGTTTTTCTTTTCTTGTACGTCCGCGACGTCTGATCACGAAACTTCGCAGAGCGGTACACTACTGCGGCCGGGCCTGCCAGGTCGCGGACTTCCAGTCCGGGCACAGGGATGATTGCGCCGCCTTTGCGCATCTGCCTACCACCGTGGCGTTCTTGTCGACGCCCGACCCGACTGAAAACTTTCCCCACCACCCCATACTGGCGCAGGCCAATCAGGAGCATGTCGGGTGCTGGGTGACAATAGATGGGTGCGTCGATTGCAGGTACGTCAATGCAAATTGTACCGTGATGCCGTCGTAACCGTTCACGTTGACAGCTTACAGTGTCTGACGGAAAGCCTGGATCCTGCGGAGGACATGTCCCGCCACATACGCATGATGTCGGGCTCCGCCGGGCCCGCCAGCCGTCAGATCATGCGTGACCACAGGGCCACCGCTCGCAGCCTGCTCAGTCTCCGGGTGCTGGTGCAAAACCGCCGCAAAGACAAGACACCTATCCTGGTGTTTGGCTCGCGAGCACAGGTTCTCAGCCTGCCTTCGTCCACATCCGCGATACGACAGGGAAGAACGGAGCTCGACAACATCGTGATGTTCACGCACAACGAGTGAGTGTTTACATCCAACTCTGCGGCACTTGACCATACCCACGCCGTGCAGAATTGTCCGCGCGGCGATGGGCGTCGCACACGACCCATGGGACCACATCCCCCGGCTGGCCATCGCGCAATTCAACACCGTCGAGGTAAGTCGGTCAGCGGCGTCGGGTACGCGTGCGGTGAGACTGACCTTTTTATACAGATTACGAGGTCCACGCCGCAGCCCGTGAAAATCATGGACTCCCGCGAGGGAACGGTACTCCTGCACACGGGGGACTTTGTCGTCTTTCAGCTGCAATTTAGCGTCGGCGACGGGAAGGCGATCTCCAAAGACTGGGAGGCCCTCAATGCGCTGGAGTCCATTTTTGTGCCTTGGTCTCCTTGGCATGGTCTCGCACCCCTTGGCGACGTTGCGGCCTCCCTTCCCACCGTCCAATGCACGTTGTCGGAGAGCGCTATCTCATCGTCGGGGCAGCTCCTGCGCGCGCCGTTCGACCACATCGCAGTGCACGAATACTTTGCGGACTACATCGAGCACGACGAGGACACCTACATCCGGAGCCACTTTGGTGTGGCTCGCGCGAACATCATCAGCGGCACGGATCAAACGATGGACAATATGGTGAACTTGATGCTGAGCAGGATCGACAAGAGCGGTAACTTGAAGCTGTTCGTAGAACAGCTGTGGGACGCGGGCATGGAAGAACTGGCACTCAAGTTTTGTGCGAATCGTTGAGTACTACGACACATGGACTATACATATTCTTGTACGGCTATGCGAATGTATGGACAAAAATATGGATGTCCTCGCAACAGCACCTGCAATGTAATACGGACCTGTACAACACGCGATCACACGCCCACCGCCTGGTCAGACACGCGGGAGAGCACACGTGTGCTGTCCCGCAATGTGACGCCCAGCGCGCGAGAGCACACGTGTGCTGTCCCGCAATGTGACGCCCAGCGCGCGAGAGCACACGCGTGCTCTCGCGCACGGCGCCCTCGTGGAAAAGAACACGGGTTGCGATATTGTATATATTTCCGTTGCCCTTGGGCTCGTCCGCACGTGTAGCGTATTGCACGAGGAACCAGGGACTTGTAGTCCGGTATGTAACAACTGTACATGCGAGGACTACTTAAACTCGGCCGCAGGTCTGGGTGTACTGGACACGTTCCTGGGTGCTCGTTCGTTCGCATGGATAGTTTATTCATGCTCCGTACGTGATCCCGTGTGTGAGGGTGCGGGTGAAGCGGAAAACGAGACGTATATTGAGGAGCTACAGAACCCACCTTATATGTACTACTACACCGATGACCAACAGAGAGACACGGAGAGCACCCCGAGCAGCGGAGGGAACATGACAGACGACGGGCGGATTGGACAAGCAGAATGGGCGCATGCAGACGGCGCGAACCATTCGTATCGTTTTACGCTCTGGGTACGAAGGTGAACGTTAGTAGCCATCTGAGAATCACGGTAGATATGAAACGTACCCCATCAGAGATGACGGGTCCATGACCGGTCGGGGTCAGCTAAGAGAAGGTTCTTGACGGCCTCGTTGTCCCCAATGATGTCTGTGAGGATGATCAGCCCAGCGTCCTCTGCACACCCGAAGACGAAGACGTTGGTCGGATGCTCACCCTCGTCGTACAGGCTCACCAGCCATCTCATCTGGTCCGCTCCGAGGGCGTCGATGTCGTCCAGGAGGCCTTGAAGGGCTTCAATATTCCGCGGGATGTTCTCGTTGCGCCTTGTGTCAAGAGCTTGCAAGCGGAGTAGCAGCGCTTCCCGGCGGTGTCGACCGTCGAGACACTCGACCGTCTGGCCGTGCGCAGCCGGGAGCCACTCTAGCATTGGCCCGTTTGCACACTCGATGTGCGCCCTTGTCACGGTGCTGAGATCGATGTACCCGGCCGGTACAAGGATCGGCATAGGGTTCCGCCAGTTTTGGACGCCCGCGTTGCGGAAGGACTCTACAAGAGCATGGACCTTGGCCGTTGACACAGGACGCTTGTTAACTGAGTGAAAGTCCAGCTTGACGGGCCCGGCGTCGCTGAGGGAAGTGAACGCGAAGCCCAGGAGTGCGTGCTGCGCGATCTGCGCAGGGGTCGCCTCTTCGAGACCCACCTCGCTTGCTCCATCGTCGGCCGTGCCGTCCCGCGTGTTCGACGTTGGTGCAACAGGGGTGGCACCGTCTGAAACCTGACCTGGGGTGCTCTTGCTTGCACGCGATGCGGGCGATCCAGTGTCCCGATCATGAGCCTCATGGGCAGTCGCAGAAATGTTGCGCACGGTGCTAGCGCTTCCAGCGGGGTGTTTAGCGGCCGCGGTCATCTGCTGAAATGTAGTCAGTGCAGTTAGTCTCTCAGTGCACGCACCTATCGTACTTACCTGATTGTTCATCGTATTCTGCAGCGTAGCAGAGGAAGACGTGTCAAAGCGGGAGATAGAACTTAGAGCGTGCTTTGCTGTCTATAGAACGAGCGCGCATTGCGCCGAATTAGGAACATGTGCCATGTGGTTCGCATCACATGGCAGGCACATGTCTGTTTTGGACATTCTACGAGATGCCTCCCTTCTGGCGGCTCTAATGTGCTCCTGCGCTGTGTCAGAGGTGCCCTACAGCAATTGGGATCGTATCTGGCATGTATCCCACGCTCTATCTGCCTTGTTTGCGCACATCCCGACAGCGCCTCAGCTATTAAAATCAACGGAGAAGGACTCATGTCGCCGTTGAGGAACTCGCCCAGCCGTGGCATTTAATGAAGGTCTCCTGGTGCGGACCAGCATACGGAATATAACACGCACATCTGCCATACGGAGCACATCAAAAGTGCGGGGCATCTCAGGCGCCTGCGTGGGAAAGCACGCGTGTGCTCTCCCGCACGTATCCCCACCTCTGGTGCCTGCGCGCGAGAGCACGCGTGTGCTGTCCCGCATCTCTGACGCCTGCGCGCGAGAGCACGCGCGTGCTGTCCCGCATCTCTGACGCCTGCGCGCGAGAGCACGCGCGTGCTGTCCCGCATCTCTGACGCCTGCGCGCGAGAGCACACGTGTGCTGTCCCGCAGGTCTCCCAGCACAATTCACGTGCACGCGGTGTGATCGACTGCTTGGGTGTTAGTAACCATCGAGAGAGGTGCAATGTATTGGTCATCTGTGTCTACGCTGATTACAGGAGATTTTCGTGCTGTTATGTAGAAACCATGGACGCTGCTGGTCATGTCCTCGTGCGCGGTCGTTGCGGGAGAGCGTCCTGTTCATCGGCGGTGTCCTGGGCAGCGTGGGTGAGTCGTCGCATTATTCCACAACAGTTTGGACGCTCACCTGTCGAATGCGCGCAGGCTGGTCGCGGTCACTGGCCGCCGGTTTGAGATGACCCCTCACCGTTGCCCTGTTCTTTTGGTCGAGCCTCATGCCTCTCGTGCGACACGACATCCAGCATTATCCCCAGGGCCTGTGTGCAGGCATGGGCCTGGGCCACCTGCTCATCCCAGGTGTGACATCGCCGGGTCATGCGGTGGGTTGCGGTGAGCAACCACATACACCGCTCCTCATTCATAGGCCCTCTCGCGATCTGCATAGGATCGTTGCGCAATCCCTCAGCACCCGTGGCCCCTCCAGGGGCTGTGTCGGAGAGAAGACCAGCCTGGATGGACAGCAGCATGATCATCTCGATGTCGCGGAGCGTAAACCGATGGACGATCTGTGCGGCGGCATGTTCGATCAGTGCGTGTACTGTTGCATACGGTGCAATACTGTCGCTGACCTCGTCCGGTGGGCGCGGGATGTGAGATAGCGCATTTGGGACTTGCACACCATCGACGACCTCAAATAGTTCCCCTATAGCATCCACTGTGGATTGCATTGCAGCCCGCGCCGATGGCCCGCTGCGTTGTTGTCCATGGTCGTCTTCGTGTCCGGAAGGCATCTCTCGATGGTGTGGTGTGATACACGTTGAGCGGCGACGACCGGTGCAGAGAGACAGACGCCGACCGCGTGTTCTGTTCCAGCCAAGTGTGCTTCTGTCGCTTCCCGTGACTCAGTCCAAGTTTTCTCTCCGTCCTTCAACAACGGTACACTCACTAGCTATTCCTCCGCCACCGTATACAGGCCGGCGGAATGGACCAAACTTGCTCCTCCGTACCGACATCTGGGGAAACCGAGCCATCGACCCCCGACGCGCCGTTACATCTCAGCAAGCGGATCTGGGACAACAAGAAGAAGCGTGAACACATCGCCAAAACGCACTGTTCGCACTGCGGAAAACGTGGCCCGGGGCCGCTGCAGACCTGCTCGCACTGCAAGTGGGTCAAATGTTCATCGTCGTTAATGTACGGTACTGATCACGACCTGTAGAGCGGTGCGCTACTGCGACAAGGACTGTCAGCGCGCCGATTTCCGGGAAGGCCACAAAGACGAGTGCACCACGTTCGCCCGCCCGCCGACGACCATGGCGTTCCAATCTGAGCCCGACCCCGAGGAGCGGTTCCCCCACCACCCGCTCTTCGCCCACGGGCATGATGATAATGTTGGCTGCTGGACCACCATCGATGGCCGCATCGACGGCGAGTAAGTGGATTTCAGTACCTCCGCGACGTGTGTGCAGCCCTCTAACGGCGTATTTATTTGGAAGATTGGAATCCCTGATCGACACGCTCGATCCAAAGGGGCTGCACGCCCGCTATGTGAACACCTTAGCTGGGACCCATGCATCTGCCAGCTATGAGATCATACGCGACAACAGAGCGTACGGGCGCACCCTGCTCACCCTCCGCATCCTCGTGCAAAACCGGCGCAAAGAGAAGACACCGATACTGGTGTTCGGTGCACGTGCCCAAGTGCTGATCAAGGTGTCGTCGACTGATGCGGTGCAGCGGGGCAGGACGGAGGCCGACAAC